GGGGTGACTGCCCGATTTCCAGCTCCTGGGCTGGCAGCTACAGCGAGTCCCCCATGGATGGCTGCGCTGTTTAAAGAACATTCTCTACCGATCCTCTCCATGCTCCACAAGTTCCCATCAGGTTTCCATGCCTGACTCGCTGCCACCTGCTTTGGGGAGCGGGGTCCGAGCCGGATCAAGGTGGAGCCAAATTTCCGGCTCATGATTCACAACCCCCCCTGGCCTGCAGCCACTCGCTTTGAAAAAAAATATAAAAAGTCTATAAAAAGTCTATAAAAAGACTATAAAAAGTCTATAAAAAGACTATAAAAAGACTATAAAAAGTCTCCCCGAGAAGACCCCGATGGAGATCTCTCCCAACGGACGCAGACGACCCCCGTGGAACTTCGGAAGATCCGTCAAACCGTTGGTAGCTATAACCCACTCTCTCTTTCTCTCTTTCTCATCCTCTTCTATCACAAAATATCCAAATAAATTGTTCCTGATTATTTAAAGTATATATATATATGCCCCTCGTTTTTCTTTTGCACTCTGAGATTCCAATATAACGAACCTCTCATGATCCCCGCTTGAGTTAAGCGGATCGTGACACACAGGGCTCCTGGTACAGCCCTCGTCATCTCTGTCATTAATCCTGAGTGCTAATTACACTTCTGATTGTTCCTTGGATTGTTACGTTAAAACTGAGCTGGGGAAAACCAATCCTGACAGGCTGTGCTGAACAAAACCTGAGGGGTCAAAGGCTGGACAGCTGCAGGCTGGAAATTACAGCCCTCCAAGGACACAGAGTTATCAGGATTTGTGGTCATCCAAGGACATGATGGAGGATTTAAGGTCATCCAAGGACATGTTGGAGTGACCAGTATTCATGGTCATCCAAGGCCACGATGGAGTGACCAGTATTTATGGTCATCCAAGGACACAATGGAGTGACCAGGATTTATGGCCATCCAAGGACATGATGGAGTGACCAGGATCGCCCTCCAAGGAAATGTTGGAGTGACCAGGATTTATGGACATCCAAGAACACGATGGAGTGACCAGGATTCATGGCTCTCCAACAATACAATGGAGTGACCAGGATTCATGGTCATCTGATGCCAGAATGATTTTTACCTTTTTTCTTTTATATATTTATAACTTTCCCAGTACCCTTCTCTCCCCTTTTCCCCAGCTAGAAGACCAAGCACATTCCAGAGCTCCGGGCTTTTGTGGATACTCTTCCATGACTGCCCCTGGAGCTCCAATAAGGACCCACTTTTATATTACCTCCTACACTAAAATCATCTGGAGTTTCATTTCTAGGCTGAAAAAGACACCAATCCAAGGAAATGTTGGAGTGATCAGGATTTATGATCATCCAAGGAAATGTTGGAGTGATCAGGACTTATGGTCAGCCAAGGATAGGTTTGAGTGACCAGGATTTATGATCATCCAAAGAAATATTGGAGTTACCAGGATTTACAGCCCTCCAAAGACATGATGGAGTGACCAGGATTTATGGCCTTCCCAGGAGGCGTTGAAGTAAATGAAGATAAAGGAAACACCAACAAAGACAGTTCAGCCTCAGTGCTGGAAATTCCCCACACAGGAAAAACACGATAAAAAGACTGAAAAACTCAGACTAATCACGAAAAGCAAGAAACCAATAATCAATAGAGGGCAGAAAAATGATTAATGAAGAGGATTCTGGAACTTGCTTAAAAACGGCTGAATCGGAAAAACACGGTAAAAAGACTGAAAAGTTCAGACTAATCACGAAGAGCGAGAAACCAATAATCAATAGAGGGCAGAAGAATGATTAATGAAGAGGATTATAGAACTTGGAATCAATGAAYATTGAATCAGTGAAGAAGTTCTGGACTGCTGGAATTTTGCTGGAAAGGATGAACAGCGGAGTGGCCGAGGGAGGGTTTTCCCCACTCTGGTGGCCCTGGGGTGACACGGTGACACGGTGACACCGGAGCTCACCTGCGGCAGATGGCGTACATGCGGTTGACGGTGGAGATGCGGAAGGGCTCGTTCTTGGAGCGGGTCAGGCTGCTGCTCAGCGTGCCCAACCCCAGGCGTTGGTAGTCGCGGCAGCACGCCCGCTCCACCACGTGCGTCATGGTCATCTTCTCCGAYGGCCTCATGGTGCTGCTGGGGGTCAGCGTGCTCCTGTCCAGCTCCTCGGACACTGTGGGGACACGGCAGGGCTGGGGACACCTCGGAATGTCCCAAYGCACTGCTGTCACCGTCACTGTCACCACAGCGCCAGGATCTCCCTCCTCCATGCCCCAGCAGCAGCCAGGAGCTGGGGCACCATCACAACTGGGGATGCTCCCACCCTGCTCCCCCTGGAGTGACACTGGCACTTCTCCCAGGTGGCCCTGGCTGTCCCCAGGACATTCCCAACCTGAGATCTCGTCCTCGTTGTCCTCGGGGAAGTTCTGGCTGCCGCGCTGCTCCCAGGCCGGGGGTGTGTACTTCTTGCGGGTCACGTACTGCCGGCCGATGGTGCGCTTGGCGTTCTTCACCAGGTTCTTGGACAGCGTCCTGGGGTGGCACGGGGCAGCCCAGGGGACAGAGGGACAGCGCTGTCACCCGGGGGCACAGCCAGGAGCAGCACCGCCCCAAGCGCTCAGAGGAACAGTGATGGGATCCCAGAGGAGCAGGGATGGGATCCCAAAGGAGCAGGGATGGGATCCCAAAGGAACAG